GCCCCCGTCCCCCCGTTGTCCTCGGCGTTATCGGGGACCCGCATGTTCTTCCATGCGGAATATGAAAAATAAAATCCGTGCTTCCTAAAGCCGCTATGGTGGACGGCGGAAGTCCGAAGGACGTTACGGTGCAGCCCTACTCCTGCAGCAAGGAGTGCCAGGGGCGGGGGGAGTGTGCTGCCCTCGGGGAGGCCAGCAGCCACCACCGAGATACGAAAAACACGGACACGCGAAGAAAAACATTGTATCAGGCTATAGAGATTCGGGTGCGTCACAGCCTTTGCCGCAAAATCCTTCTCTCCACGTATACAGTTTCCAATTATTGTGTGTGTGTGTTTGAGAACTGTCGCGAGTGCTTTTTTAAAGTGACGCCCAAGTGTCGGTCAGTAGAGCAGTGCTCGGGGCCCCGTGCAGCTCTGCTCGGCGCCCTTTGACCGGCGCCGGCGCGTACACCGCTGCACCGAGCACATGTGGGGCTGCCGCCCTCCCCCCCCCCCTTTCCCTCGTCCACCGTCTCTGTCCCTCCGGCATCCACGTTATACGACTCGCGCAGCCGCGACGCTGTGCGACACTCTAAAATGTCCAAACGTTTCCATCTCAGTAGCCATCGCTATCCGTGTGTCTCCTGAAGATGAGGAAGGGGAAGGGAGGATGCTACTTTCCATCCTCATTTATCTCACCCCCCGTATTCCTCTCTCGGCTCTGTTCCTGCTTTGCTTCGAAGAAATCGTTCTATAAAACACGGCGCTAGTTGTTTCCTATAGGAGGCAACCACCTTGCAATGTGTCATTTTGTCTTCAGATTGGAATGCTTTTCGTAATCAGTAACTAAGTATAACCACCTCTTAACGGCCGGGCCCTCCCTTCTCTTCGGCACGTACCAAGCACCACCCTTGAGAAAAAAGAAAGAGAAAAAAAAGACTTCGCAGCGTTGTTGTTGTGAACGATCTTTTTACACCTCTATTATTGCCCGTGCCTCGGCCCGCCCCCTCCCCTCGCCAGTAGCCACCCGGACCCGGAAGAAGCGAGGGTGCAGCGGGAGGGGAGGAAAGAGGAGGAGGGGCCAGTAATGCTGCAAAGTGGTCTGGCCTGTGCAGGGCGCGAGTGGTGCTGGGTGCTGACCGATCAGAGGAGAGAGAGAAGGGGGAAGGGAAAAGGGGGGGGGGCTCACGACGTGAGAGACAAGTGTAGTTGCGCGAGGAAGCAGACTTACGCCCCAGCAGCGCGACGGGGGGCTCTGTTTGGTGACCGTCGCGAGGGGGTGGGGGTGGGGGAGTATTCTGAGGAACGCGGCCAGGAAGCGCGTGACGGCACCACGGACTCGGAGCAGTTCGACATAGTCACATACACGCCCGGGGAAGTCCACCACACCCAGAAAAATAGTTTCTTGATTCAAGTGCAAGCTGACACAACAAGATGGAATTCACCATTGAAACAAGGCATAATAGTCTTTGGAATAAGATTTTTCCCTTATCCCCTTAAATATCAGCTTGTTTTAAGTGTAAATTTGGCCTTGTGTCAGCGTGCACTTGAAACTAGGAAAAATTTTCTTGAAACAAGAAACGATTTTCCTGGGTGCAAACCTCTGGCCTTTCTGTTAGTTTTTTTCGTCGAATAGTGCGTACATTTTTGAATGTGTCGTCTGCGGCCCGTCTAACCTCGCACCGGAAGCTGCTCGCGTCTAGTCGCGAGTGGTAAAGGCGAAGGCGGGTGTGCCGCCCGCTGGGCTGGGCTGGCTGGTCGCAGATCGGGAAGAGCGAGAGAGAAAGAGCAAGGATCCTCCAATTAAAAAAAGGCGTTAGGCTTGTCAACATGACAGTTTATCTGTCCCTAAATACAGACCGCTGGCCCGGCCTGGTACGCCCCCACCCCCCACCCTCTTCCTCCTCCTTCCCGCCTCCCCACTTCTCTCTGCTCTTTTCGCCGTCGTGTGGCGAATCTGTAACATCTCGACCGGGCGCGCGCGAGTCTGCGAAA